CAGGCCTTTCTAAACAGGTTCTCCCCAGCCTTCCTGTAGGCCCCTTCAGGTACTGGAAGGCCGCTATTAGGTCTCCCCGGAGCCTCCTCTTCTCCAGGCTGAACAACCCCAGCTCCCTCAGCCTGTCCTCGTAGCAGAGGTGCTCCATCCCCCTGATCATCCTTGTGGCCCTACCACAATCAAACCATTTGATTGCAACACCCTTGGATTGCTCATGAAGTGACCGTTAAAAAACCACCTATTTCATGCAATTCAAAACCAAATAAATCTAGCTGTGATTACAGTGGTGGCTGATGGCCAGAGCTCTCCTCTTGGAGAGGAGGGTTTGATGTTTGCTGGTGGGGGGAATTGCATCTCACTGTGTCTGTCTCCTGGCAGGGACTACGCCATGGCAAACCTGAGCGTGAATCTCTACACTGTGAACGAGCCCTGGCTATACTCCATCCTGTGGTGCGCCGGCGTCCAGTCGGTCACCTCCGACAGCTCCCATGTCCTTCGCAAGGTGCCTTCTCCCATCTGGCTAATGGTAAGCAGGACACCTGGGAAGGTGCCGTGAACCACTGGAAGGAGGTGATGCCATTGGGGGTGTGTAGAGGTGGCTGTCAACCACTGGAACCATAGGGCTAGTGGTTTTCTCCAGGAAGGTTTGGTTGGGTTCAACATGCTGTTGGGCTTGGGAGTTTTCCCTCTTTGTATGTCTGAGATGGTAACGGATCGATGCTCCTCTTGCACAGTCCCTTCCTAAACATGGTCCCAACTCTCCCCATATAGGGTTTGGGAGCCTTGGACACTGTGTTGCATGCCCCACTTAACCCATATGATTTTTCCCATTTTTCTCCAATGGAAATACACCTTCCCAGACCTGCTGAGCAGCTGGAGAAGCAGACACACAGGTGAACCAGAAAACCTGGCCTCTGTGTTTCTGCCAGGCTACAAAACTATTTTTTTTACCCTGTTTTTAATACCAAATGAGGACGAGTTTTACTACTGGCTACCCTATTGCTGGACAAGGAATAACCAGAGACCAAAGGTAGCCCCCTTGGCCATCGTGTAGCCAGTTAAAGTCTCTGAAAACTCCCCTAGTACTTCAGGTCTCTGAACCAAACAGAAATATTCATATAGTATACCACTGAGATAGGAAGCTTTCAGCCCACAAAGCTCTGAGAAACTGTCAGCACATGAAAGGAGGGAGAGTTTAAAATTGTTCCCATTTGTGGTTTTTCCTGATAACGTCATTTTGGGTGACAGGCCAGCATTAGACGTGTCATAAACGTTGTGATTTATATGCGACCCCTGTAGCTCTGTGCTTTTCTCTCTGCCCTGGTGGTAACTTTAGCAGTGTGTGGTCTCGCTGTGATTGTACAAACCAGAAGGTTCAAGGTCTGCTTCTGCTTTTTGTCTTCCAGCCTCCAGACGAGTACCACCTAATCTGGATCACATCTGATCTCATTTCATTTATCGTAATTGTAGGAGTTTTTATATTCCAGAAGTAAGTAGCATTGATACAGCTCGACTCTTGTGTATTTGTGGCGTGGGGTTTTTTTTTGTTGTTGTTCTGAGCGTGGGGTGGAGATGGGACAGAGGAGCACCGTGCTCCTCAGGCGCTTGGATTGCAATAGCAGGGGAACCATTTGTTAAAAATCCCTAGAAAGACTGCAAGCAATAATTCCACTTCTGAGATGTGACATTGAATTGGATGAAGTCACTACTCTTTAAGAAGAACGAGAGATCTCAAAATAGTAGATAGATGCTTTCTTTTGCTCATAAACACGTGTGGGAGAGAAACTGTAAATGCTTTAGGGAAATGGATGTTGAGAAAGAGATTAAAATGCTTTAAAGGAAGAAGAGGAGATATTTTGAGATCCCACCATTACAGTCTTCAAAAAAACCCATGTCATAGTTCTCTTAAACCAGTTTGTTCCTGTTTGGAGGAAGAAATAGAAATATCGACAGAATCATAGAATGGTTCGAGTTGGAAGAGATCTTATTGATCATCCAGTTCCAACCCTCTGCCCTGGGCAGGGACACCTCCCACCAGACCAGGTTGCTCCAAGCCCCATTGAGCCTGGCCTTGAACCCCTCCAGGGATGGGGCAGCCACAGCTTCTCTGGCCAACCTGGGCCAGGCTCTCACCACCCTCACACCAAACAAGTTCTTCCCCACATCTCATCTCCATCTCCCCTCTTTCAGTTTAAAACTGCTCCTCCTCATCCTATGGCTCCCCTCCACCATCAAGAGTCCCTCCCCAGCTCTCCTGGAGCCCCTTGAGGGACTGGAAGGGGCTCCAAGGTCTCCCCAGAGCCTTCTCTTCTCCAAGCTGAACCCCCCCAACTCTCTCAGCCTGTCCTCCCAGCAGAGGGGCTCCAGCCCTCCCAGCATCTCCGGGGCCTCCTCTGGCCCTGCTCCAACAGCTCCATGTCCTTCTGATGTTGGTGGCCCCAGAGCTGGAGGCAGCACTGGGTGGGGGGTGTCTCCCCAGAGCGGAGCAGAGGGGCAGAATCCCCCCTGGCCCTGCTGGCCACGCTGCTGGGGATGCAGCCCAGGATGTGGGGTCTTTCTGGGCTGCCAGCGCACATGGCTGGCTCATGTTGAGCTTCTCATCCACTAACTGCCCCAAGTCCTTCTCAGGGCTGCTCTGATTCCTTCTCTGCCCAGCCTGGATTGGGTCCTCAGGGCTGCTTTGATTCCTTCTCTGCCCAGCCTGGATTGGGTTTGGGATAGTCCCAACCCAGGTGCAGGACCTTGCACTTGTCCACGTATTATAATTTAACAAATCAAATAAGTTGCTTAGTTTGATGCATAGAGAAAGGCTCTCTGTTTCCCACATATTATGACTTAGCAAATCAAATAAGTTGCTCAGTTTGATGCATAGAGAAAGGCTCTCTGTTTTCCAAAGAAAAGGGAGATCAAGGATTTGATCAGATCATGGCAGAAACCTCCCTGTTAGCCTGAAAACAGATGTGGTTCATAAACCTCGGAGCAGAGTAACTTAAGACATTTCATAAATCAGGAGGAGGTAAATCAGTTTCCTAATGGCAGAGTTAGCCAAGCCACCCTCCTCTTGATTATACGTGAGTAAGCCACGGTGTCCTCCCGGTGATGTGCCTTTTCTCCTGGGAGGCATTTTAGCTGTCAGTGGTGACAGGGTAATCACCCTCTCTGGGGAGAAAGCGTGAGCTCAGAGAGAGATGCGTTCCCTCCAGCGAGGAGCAGCACCCTTCTCCTGGGAAAAGCTGTCCTTCCGAAATTGCATCCCTTCTTCCCTTGGCTCTATAATCTCATGCACAAACGACCGTCCTAGAGAAATCAAGGGATTTACACTTCCCTTCCTTCCTTGATAACTGCAATGCCTTTGTGTTAGGAGCAGCAACTTCATTCACTTTAACCTCACGAGCCAGTGATTTTGCTATTGTGTTGTCCCAGATCATCTCCTTCCAGCCATCTCTTTCTTTCCCCCTGGGTATTTTTGCCATGTCACAGCAGGCTGTGGCTCCTGCCAGCAGCTGCGATGGATTTGCCTTCAGGCCACATGTTGGGTCTGTTCATGATTATGTCTAAATTCATCAATCTCATGCACAAATGACCATCCTAGAGACGTCAAGAGATTTACACTTTCCTTCCTTCCTTGATAACTGCAATGCCTTTGTGTTAGGAGCAGCAACTTCATTCACTTTAACCTCACGAGCCAGTGATTTTGCTATTGTGTTGTCCCAGATCATCTCCTTCCAGCCATCTCCTTCTTTCCCCCTGGGTATTTTTGCCATGTCACAGCAGGCTGTGGCTCCTGCCAGCAGCTGCGATGGATTTGCCTTCAGGCCACATGTTGGGTCTGTTCATGATTATGTCTAAATTCATGAATCTCACAGTCCCAGGCTGGTAGCCCTGTGCCCAGCAGGTCCCCAGTTCCAGCATGGAGCAGCAAGTTCAAAACTCTCCTCTCAGATTAGATTTCCCAACAGTTAATGAAACCGCTGACCGAGATGAGATTAACATTTTTCTAAGAAGTCTTATGATGTGAATTGTGGCCGATTAAACCCTTCCTCCAGAAGGGCATTGTGGTGGTGCTGTCTGGAAGCTACCTCCACTCCCTCAAAGTTGCCAGTTGGTTTAATAAGAGATGTCCCTGCTCTTTAGGCCCTGTATTTCTCTGTCAGATACAGAAATACATGGAGGAATCTGGAGGCAGGGACTGACCTCTCTGAAGAGCAGAATTTGAAGGCCAAGTTGATGAGATATTTGCAGTCTTTTTGCATCATGTCCCAAAGTCAGTTTTAGAAGGCTTCCCTGAATCAGACCCAGGAGACCCCAGCTGAAGAAGTTAAACTGATTCAAACTGCTGAGTGGGTCCCAGAGCAGAATGAGATGGTGCATGCTTGGAGAGAGGAAGAAGTCCTCCATGGACTTTGCAGTAGCTGGACTCTTCCTCTCTGCACAGATTGAATCTCTTCCAGTTTGGAAGAGGTTTGATGGAGTAGGGCAAGGAAGGAAAGCATTATTGAAGGATTTCTCTTCCACCCACCGTGTGTGATATAGGTTAGACGAGCTGGAAAGTGCCACCAGTTTTCCCTAGTGTCCATCAACCTGGAGCACTGAGCTCCCTGCCCAACCTCTGGTGCAGAAAGGCTTGCTCAGAGACCTCTGGCCACGTGGAGTCTATCATAGCAGGGTCAAATGTCTTCTTTTGGATTTCTCCCTTGGGACAACTCAACCCTGAGTCAGTAGAAGGAAGAATGAGAAATCTAGCACCAGAAGTTGGACTTTCTGCAGCAAAGGGCTCGCTCTTCCAAGAGCTTTGTGCAGGAGAGACCCATTTCCCTGCCCTTCCAGTTTCTCCACCACATGAAAGGATTGGTAGCAGCGTTGAGGATCTATCAAAACCAAATCACAGCGGAATTGCCCTACTACTACCTGCTGATGTGATTCAGTTCTGGGAAATGGGGCTTGGCATTTGGCCTTCAGTGTCGTGGTTGGTTGTTTTTTGTTTTGTGGTTTGGTTATTTTTATTATTTTTTTTTCCCCTAAGTCCTTTTTGGGGCAAAACAGAGCTGCTTCCTTCGTGCAAGGATGAGGGGGCGGGTGGGAACAGAGCCACCGCTTCGATGTGCTCGTCCTCTCTCCTACGCATGGCTTGTCTCTCCTCCGTAGCTGTGGGTAGGGATTGCTCCTGCTGTTCTGCTTCAGCCCCGGTGACAGGATCGTGGCCGCCTCTCCAGAGGGGAAATACCAACTGTGATGGATGACTTCTAACCAATCTTTTTTTTATTATTATTATTTTGCCTCTTTGCCTTGTTTATTTTCTTACTGCTCTGACTGTTGTGCATGTTCCTCCTCTTTCTCTCTCTGCTGCATTCTGGCATCTCACAGCTATCACATGATCAGGTAATTCTGGTGCTTTCCTCCTCTTCCTCTTTTTTTCATTCAACCTTCCTTTCTCTCTCTCTCTCTTTCTCCCTCTCTGCCTGTGGCTTCACTGCAGATGGACAGGGCAGGACGCAGTTTTTCATGATGCTTTCAAACATCTGGCTTCATGGGAGGGGGGACCATGAGGGTCGGAACATTGCATAGTCCATAGCCATGAGCACCAGGGGAGCCTGGTGCTGAAGCCGGTGGATGTTTTGAAGGCAATCTGACCTTCCGTTACAATGATCCAAGTCACTGCCTTTTAAAACAACCCTATCCTGAGGTCCTGCAGTGTGTTGTAATTGGGAAATTCCCAGTGGATGTAATGCTTTCTCCATGGAAATAATCCCATGCATTCCTTTAGTGCATTTACCAAACATTTTTGAGATAGACCTCTTCTAAATTGGCCAGTTCTAAAGAAAATAATATAACCTGCTCAATTACATAAAGTGGCGCTTTTCTAGCCCTGGGAATGAATTAATAAGGCTAATAGCTGGAAAATTTGGCTCATCAGCTGCTGCACTCAGATCCTGGCGTCTTTCAGGAGTCTCTTCCCAGTTACACCACTGTGAAACTGGAAATGGGGTGTGAAAATAAATAGCACCCAAGAAGAGAATGAGCCTGAGATGCTGTGTTTGAAAGTGCCATCGGTTGGAAACCCAGATTCCTCCTTGTACTGGTGCTGTTTTCTCCACCAGTTGTTCTCATCCCCTTGGAGGGGAGCGCTGTCACTTTTCTGCAGTAAAGCCTTCACCGCCTCCGTACTCCGACCAAACTCTCCACGTGTTACCTCTCCATCCCTTCCGCTCTGTGCCATGGGGTTGTATTTCTGAGGACTTGGCTACTTCCCTATACCTGTGCTTACCTGCTCCTCTCCCTCTGCCCACCCCACCATCTCAGGGGTTGGGGTTGGCCACCTTCAACCATTGCCTGCTCCACGAGGTACCTTGGACTTGCGGTATTACATCCTTGCGGTGTCTCCCCAAAAGAGGATCTGGCTATGGGGCTGGGCTGAGCCCTTCTATGGGTGCAGGGAGGTTGGGTGTTGTCCCCTTCTTTCCTCCCCTTTGCTTGCAGATAAGGAGAAGACAGACATGGAGGAGCTGGGCAGGCTTTAGGCAAGAGTAGTCGCAGGATGGGGACTCTGGTTGTGGCTGGCTTGGCTGTTTGCTCACTCCATCTTATCAACCCTCTTTTTTCCCCTGACCTGCCCCTCTCCCATCCCCTTTCCCTGCCATTTGGCATCTCCCCTTCAAACCAAGGGTCCCGTTGTGGCCCTAACACGGTGTCTGCTGTCTCTGTGTTGTTGTCCCAGTATTTTTTAGTCTGTTCCCACCCTGTGTCCGTCTGGTCCGCTTTGATGCCAACCTCCCAGAGCAAGACCTACCTGCTGTCTGTCTGGCCTTTTTGCGTGCTGCTGTCCTAAACGTTGGCTGATCACAACAGAGTCCAAGGGGGTAGGAGAGGAGCTCTTTTCTATTAAACAAGCTTTCTGGAGACCCAAAGGCTACCGAGAACAGCAGAGAGTGTCGTAGAGTCATAAAATGGTTTGGGTTGGAAGGGAGAGACCCAAAGGCTAAGGAGCACAGCAGAGAGTGTTGTAGAGTCATAAAACGGTTTGGGTTGGAAGGGACCTTAAAGATCATCTAGTTCCAAACCCCCTGTTATGGGCAGGGACACCTCCCACCAGACCAGGTTGCTCAAAGCCCCATCCAGCCTGGCCTTGAACCCCTCCAGGGATGGGGCAGCCACAGCTTCTCTGGGCAACCTGGGCCAGGCTCTCACCACCCTCACAGCAAAGAATTTTTTCCTAATGTCTAGTCTAAATCTCCCCTCTTTCAGTTTAAAGTATTCTGTATGGTGTTGGAGTTGCACTGTGGCTCTTCTAAGAGGGTATTTCAAAGTACATTCCGTATCGTGTTGGAGTTGCATTGTGATTAAATGGACTGGTGGCTCTTCTAAGAGGGTATTTCAAAGTACACCAAAAAAATGGGGCCACCCTCTCCTAACTTGTTCAGTCAGAGCAATGCACCCGTGAGAGAGGAGTCATCAGCTCCTTGAGCATAATTAACCACCCTGGATCTGGCCACAGCCACCACGTGAGATGGGGAGCAGAAAGCAGTGGTCATTCCTCTTGGAAGGAGGAGGAGAAAAGCCCTTGGTCCCCACACCCTTTTGAGGTTGGGCTGTCTATGCCTCAAAAGAGCCCTTTTTCTCCATGGGACATCTAGGACCTGTGAGCAAGAGATCATCATGCCTTTTGGCCACGCAACCCAGTCTCATGCTAAAAATCCTGATGATGTGGGCCAAAAAAGGACTTCTTGTTGTAGCAATATATTTTGATCCTGATTATAGTTTATGGAGCGTCTTAACCAGTGAGATCCTATGCACTTCCAACCACATCAACCTTAGTGGAATCTGCCTGTATGTGACATTAAGGCCAAAATTGGTTTTTTTCTAGGTCAAAATATCTCAGCTTAGATGATGTTGACAGGAGAGAAAGATATTTTTTTTTATTATTTTGAAATTTTTTTATACTTTAATATCTTTGCCTCCTTGTGCTTCCTCTGTATTGCCTCTGTCCATGGGTCTGTGAGTTGTGTTGTGTTGCTGTCCCATCCCTTCTTCTCTTTGTAGCAGAGCCTCGGCCTTCATCTGTACCCCGGTCAAAGCCTGATGGTGTGCTGTCACCCACTGGCATTTGGGAAAGGGATGGAAACCCCATGAAATCGATATGAGCTAGGTTTTCCAGGAAAAGATACAGAATGTCTTTTGTGGATCTTCCTTTGTCAGGGTGATGATGTGAACCCAGGTTGGGGACATGTGGGGGCTCCTCAAACCCTCATCTTCCTGGGGCTGGTTGGGGGTTAGAAATTTAAGAGAAGGTGCTTGTCATCTTAAGAAAGAAAAAAAAAAAATAAAAAAATCACCTTCTCTTGTGTGGATGAGCCACTAGATGGTGCCAGAAGATCAGAAGCCCCATAAAACACCCTAAATCCCTGCTGATTCTTCATCAAATAGCTTTATAGCATCCCTGGCTCTCGTAGGGAGAATGGAACTTGCTTGAAAGCCTTTTTCTGTGGTCAGGAGGTAGGAGAAATCGATGGGGCTTGGGCTATGAAAGCCTGGACTAAACAACATCCCTTTGCAATGGGATATTGGGTACGGCTGCTTTGTCTGAGTCCACCAAGCCCTGTTTTCCAACAGCAGCCCGACTTTCACAGTTTAGGGTCTGCTAGAGGGGTGCTCTCAGGCTGAAAAACAGCTTTAAAAGCAAAATCCCCCTCGAACATGCTGCTGTTGCTTGTTACTAACATCAGTAATTCTCTTTACGTGCATTCAGTAATGACAATAGAAGTCTGGCTAATTTTAAGTTGAGCCAAGTTCCCAGCACTCTCATGTTGTTCATGCAATGGAAACTTTTGGTGGACACCAAGTTTCATCAAGGCTTAAAAAGCGTAGGTTTTGGGTAGAAGCATGTAAGCAAAGGGCTGGCATTTGGGGAGGGAAGTGCTCTGGGAGAAATCACGTTCAGGGGAACTGTATGTCACAGCTACCTGTGTGGGGGCAGTGTCTTTGCTGCATCTTAGGTTTGAGACTTTAATTTGTCTTTGAGAGCTCTTTTCCCGTGAGGGTGGTCTCTTGTTTTGTTCCCTCTTTCCAACCCTAAGAGTCAAAATAGCCCTAACTCCTTAGGGCAGTGGGGTAGCTGATATGATGGAGAGAGGTATCTGCAGTCCTTGGTGAAATTAGCAGAATTAGGATGCTCAAGGTGGTTAAAGATGACCTGCTTGAATGTCTGTACCCCTCTGAGATAACATGCTCATCTCTGAACATCCTCCTACCATGCGGGGTTGCGTAGGTGCGAGGGAGCAAAGGCGTGAGGGTCTCTGGGACTTGCTGGTCTCCACATTGTTGGTGGCCGCTTGCCTTGAGGATGCTCCCGTGGTTGGGGGAGACCAGCTCCTGATATCACCCTCTTGTCTTGCAGGTGGCGCCTAGGAAGCATCAGGACCTACAACCCGGAGCAGATCATGCTCAGTGCTGCTGTCCGCCGGTCTAGCCGGGATGTCAAGATCATGAAGGAGAAGCTGATCTTCTCGGGTATGGGTGGGGGCTAGTCGGTCAGAGCCCTTTGCTCCACCCCTCGGCCATCCCCCTGCTCTCTGCTGGTGGTGGTCTTGATATGGGTGTCATCATCTGCTGGTGGGACAGGGTGGCTGGACTGACCCTGCTGCACTGAACCACCTGTGGGATATAGTCGTGGCTCATCCATCCCAAAATGGTGCTCTTCTGAGCACTGGTTTGCTGAGAAATGCTGTGTCCAACTTCCCATGTTGTGCCATGCAGCTCTCATAGTGTCCCACGTCACCTCTGCTCTGAGGTGTCAACAATGTGTCAAAAGCTATAAAGCCCATTAAAATAACGTTATAGGTCACCACAAATAGTGGTGATGCGTTTTGGGGTAGACCTAGAATTCAACAGCCCTGTGGACCGAGGTGTTCCTGAAATCCTTGTGTTCCCTCTCAGCATTTTTATGTGTTGGAACATCTCACCGCGCCTCTAAGAAAGATCTCAGAAATGTGTACAAAGAGGGAAACGTTTAGCTTTAAAAGATTAAAGTTGGTCCACGAAGCTGGAAAACCCACATTTGAAGGAATGTGAATATAATCTCCCCTTGAGCTTTGTTACGGGCTTTATTTTTTTTTGTATTTTGGGGCTAGGGATCTCCAGCAGGGGTCAGGGTTTATTGTACTGGGCAAATACACAGCAAAACGGACAACTCTTGCTTCAAAGAGCTTATTGTGTGACATGCGGGCCTGATTCTGCCCTCCAGAGGTGGTGAAAATCAGGTGTAAATCCAGGGAATCTAGAGAGGCAAAGCCGTTGGTCACAGCAGAATTAAGCAACCCCCCAACATTGTCCTAGATGTAAAATGTCCTAGATATAGCATATACTTAGAGGTAGGGGATACATGTTAAAGTTTTGTGCAGCTGAAATGCATGATCTTGCTTAGGGTGGGTGTTTGCAATTAATGCATTGGTGGTTGCACATCTTCTCCAGTGAAACCAGTGACCATAGGACTCTACCCTTTTCCAGAATGGCCATTTGGGTAGATAAGTTCAGGCATTTTGGACCCTTTTCCTGGGTGACTAATTCAGCCTGTGACATGGCATCCATATGTAAGGGGGGGTGTATGTACAGCTTTGCTTCTGATGGTGGCAGAATTGTGAAGGTCTGAAATTTAGAGGTGAGCTTCTATTTGGAGGCAGATCCTGGTCAGAACTGGTTTTAAATGGGTGCAGTGTTACTAACACCGGGGTGAAATTGGAATAGGCTGCCCAGGGAGGTGGTTGAGTCACCATCCCTGGATGTGTTTAAGGGACGTTTAGATGGGGTACTGAGGGATATGGTGTAGGGGAGGACTTTGTAGAGTAGGGTAGATGGTTGGACTCGATGATCCCAAGGGTCTCTTCCAACCTGAATGATTCTATGAAATCCCTGTAGGATCAGCTGGATCCCGCGTGCTGGAATAGCAGGGCTACTTAGTGCCTCAGTTTCCCCATCTGTGGTGGGTGGGTGGCTCCTGGGACTTGCACCCCTGTGACGATGTCTCTCCCCACCTCCTCTCTTCTCTACCCTCCCCAGAGATCAACAACGGCGTGGAGACCACGGACGAGCTGTCTCTCTGCTCCGAGAACGGCTATGCCAACGAGATGGTCACCCCCACGGGTCATCGGGACACCAAGCTGAGGATGAACTGAGGGGCTCGGGTCCGACCCTGGCGTGGGGTGTCCCCCACCTTCTCTCCAGCAGCGAGAGCCGTGCTCTCCTGCTCGCTGCGGGATGGGAACCTGTGAGGAACTGCTGGTCGGGCAGAGACCCCTTCCCATTCCCCATCGCCGGCTGCTCCACCTCCCTGGTTGTGAGGTTGGAGGGGCTTATTTTTGTAAATATGTAGAAAATCTGAATTATTATTTTTTTGTCTCTTTTGGATTTTTTTTTTTTGAGTGTCATGGTTTTTTTCCAGGGCATGAGTGGAAATACTGTGTTCATTAAATCCTCGACCTTATGGCTGAAGTTATTTGAATCTTGACGTGAAGCCTGAGTCCCTGTTGGGGGGGGGTTTGGGAAAAACACACTGGACGTGTCTCCCTTTTCCCCCCCTTGCCCTGCTCCCCCCCTTCCCTTGGTGCGGTGACTGTGTAGCTGAATGTTGTGATGTTCTCGTGAAGTGACGTTTTTGTTATGTTGGGGTTTTTTGGGGATTTTTTTTTTTTGGTTCCCCCCTCTTTTCCCCCTTTCCTGGGCAATGAAGTTTTAGCTCTAGAGCAACAGGGGGGGCTTGTTTGGAGGAGAGAAGCTTTCCTTAGGAGAGGAGATAGCACTGCTCTTCCCCGCTGAAGTTCAGAGCCAGGGAAGTGGTTGCACTGGCTCAGTCACTTGGGCACCTTCTCCATGTCCTGTCCTCCTTCCCAAAGCCTGGCTGCTGGCAGGGGAATGGCCTTCTGGAAATGTTCTGCCACAGTCTTGAGGGCAAATCCTGAGCGTTGGCTGTAGACTGGCCTCTGCTGGCAGCAATGCTTTCATTTTTTTGTTCCGTCCCTCCCTCCCCCCCATTTTTTCTTTCTTTCTATCTCTTCTCCCTGAGTTGGGCTCTGTCAGGAGCCCGGGTGGCTTGCAAAAAGCAACGCCATGGACACCATCACCGCTCAGATCTGGCTAAAGTGCCTGCCACTTCCAGTGGCGTTCGGAGTCGCTCCTCGCTGCCCTGTCCTTGCACCCGCGTTGGAAGAGGAGGTGGTGGTGCAGGGTGAGCTTCCACCTCTCTGGGGCCAAGGAGATGCCTGTGGGTGAAGGAGTTGTAAATAGTTTGGAAGGTGGAGCAGCCCCGGAGTGTAATTTATTCCTGCAAGGAGACCTTTCCTCCTTGCTTTATAAGTGGGATCTTTAGAAGCTGCATGTTCACGTCCTCCAAAGGAGTGACGGTCTTGCAGCAGATGCTGACAGGCTCATGAAGGCAAGAGCTCTCATCTGCGTGTTTCCAATGCAAAAGGCTTTAAACCAAAACCCTAGACCAGGAGTTAAAAGAGAAAAAAAAAAAAAAAAATCAAGCACCCAAATAAAACAAAACTCAGAAACCAAGTAGATGACAGTTGTCTTTTATTCCCTCCCTGTGGTGGATCACAGCCAGCCCAAGGGCGGTCTTAGCTCTCTGCTCTTGACCTTCAAGACCTTGTGGAGAGAAGCTTGGTTTTGGGTCACTCTGCTGTTTGCACGGAGCTGGTTCCCAAGGCAGCCGAAACTAGGCGGAAGGCTGCCGGAGCTGTGAATGGGTCTTGGCTCAGTCCCTGTGGCCTTCTGCTGTTGGGTTTCTCCCTTCCTTGCTGGATCTTGGTCCACACAACGCTCAACGAGAGAATTCCCATTGAGCGTGAGCTTCCTTTGAAGCTCGGTTGTGCGCTGCCTTGAAAGCGATGGGTCCATCAAAGATGTTTCCTGTGGAGGGAACGGGAGCTGAGGTTTAGTTTTTTGGGTGCTGGCCAAGCTGGGCTGCAGAGAAGTCTGGGAGAGACTGGAGGGAGAAGTCACCTTGCAGAGGAGAAGGTGGCCTGGGGGGATGCTGACGTGCATCGCATTCAACGCACAAAGCAGGCTTGGAAAGGCCAGAAACAAGCCACGATCAAAACTGCCTCAAGCAGTTTGTTCTTGTTTCGGCAGCACTAAATTGCTCGATTTTATTATTTTATTTTTTTAGCTGTACTCCAGTAGAGTTTTGAAACCCTGAAGTCTTGGGCTTAGTGTGTAAGAATTGGGGGCAAAAGTGGCCAACTTATCAATGTAAGAGAAAAATACCCCTATTAATAATGAAAATGTGAATTGTGATGCTTTAATAAGCACCTCCGATGCAGTGCAACACAGGACTTTAATTTATTTGCATCAACGCTGGGTTTTTATGAATGTAAGTGGAATAAGACCCTGGTCCATCCTCCCTCTTACCTTCCCCAAGTAGTGTCCTCCTGTATGGTACACTCTCCCAAGTCTGTGAAACATGGTGTGTTTTTTCCTGCAGAATTGCAAGATTTTGGTGAATTTGAAGGCTTTTGAGAACAAAGTTGCTTCTCCCTTTACTGTGGTGCTGTATTGAAACATTCCCGGTGGATTGTCATTGCCAAGTGAGAGATGTTGTTAAATCTCAGCATCCGTTGATAATCACCTGCATGTTCTGTTTTAACCCTTGGAGATGACTTTATTGAAAGGTCAAGTGCTTAAAAGCTTGGAAGCGTTAAAAGCAATCCAACAAAGAGTTGTTTTCACAATTCACTTTTTTCTTTCTTTTTTTTTTTTATGATGAGACCCAAATTTTATGCGTAATGCACTGACTGTTACTGTTATCGTCCTGAATATTTGCTACCTTTTTTTTTTTTTTTAAGAGGATGATATTTTTTTTATGAACACAGGACTTTAATTTATTTGCATCAACGCTGGGTTTTTATGAATGTAAGTGGAATAAGACCCTGGTCCATCCTCCCTCTTACCTTCCCCAAGTAGTGTCCTCCTGTATGGTACACTCTCCCAAGTCTGTGAAACATGGTGTGTTTTTTCCTGCAGAATTGCAAGATTTTGGTGAATTTGAAGGCTTTTGAGAACAAAGTTGCTTCTCCCTTTACTGTGGTGCTGTATTGAAACATTCCCGGTGGATTGTCATTGCCAAGTGAGAGATGTTGTTAAATCTCAGCATCCGTTGATAATCACCTGCATGTTCTGTTTTAACCCTTGGAGATGACTTTATTGAAAGGTCAAGTGCTTAAAAGCTTGGAAGCGTTAAAAGCAATCCAACAAAGAGTTGTTTTCACAATTCACTTTTTTCTTTTTTTTTTTTTATGATGAGACCCAAATTTTATGCGTAATGCACTGACTGTTACCGTTATCGTCCTGAATATTTGCTACCTTTTTTTTTTTTAAGAGGATGATACTTTTTTGATGAAAATAGACCTAGACCAAAATAAACTCTGCAATGCTCTGTGAAATAAACTGTCAGTATTCCCCTGCCAGTCTGTGGTGTTGTCATGTGTTCTGGGATTGTTTGCATCATGATGATGTCTTGTTCTTCTTCTTTTTTCATGCTTTATGAGGGAGCTAAAGGTCTGACCAGAGGGAGGTCTGGAGACCATAGAATCATAGAATTGTCTAGGTTGGAAGGGACCTTTAAGATCATCTAGTCCAACCATCAAACTAACTCTGGTGAAAAAACAAAACAAAACCCATCACTAAACCATGTCACTAAGCTCTATGTCAACCCATCTTTTGAATACCTCCAGGGATGGTGCCTCAACCACTTCCCCGGGCAGCCCATTCTGATCCTTAATAACCCTTTCAGTGTAAACATTTTTTCCTTATAACCAATCTGAACCTCTCCTGGCACAAGGTGCTCCAAGATCTGTCCTTCTTGAGATCAATACAGTTGTGTTGCATCTCTTGTTGATGACACTGAGCTTAGTGGTGCAGCTGACATGCTTGAGGGATGGGATGCCATCCAGAGGGACCTGGACAGTGGGCCAGTGTGAACATCATGAGGTTCTTAAATCTGAACCTTTCCTGGCGCAAGGTCCTCCAAGATCTGTCCTTCTTGAGATTGATACAGTTGTGTTGCATCTCTTCTTGATGACACTGAGCTTAGTGGTGCGGTTGACATGCTTGAGGGATGGGATGCCATCCAGAGGGACCTGGACAATATGCCAGTGTGAACATCATGAGGTTCCTTCAGGTGGGTCAGGGCAACCCCTGATATTGGCACAGGCTAGGGATGGAGAGCAACCCTGAGCAGAAGGACTTGGGGATGTTGGTGGATGAGAAGCTCAACATGAGCCAGCTGACAGTCCAGAAAACCCTCTTGCATCCTGGGCTGCATCCCCAGCAGCGTGGCCAGCAGGGCTGGGGGTGGGGGATTATGCCTCTCTGCTCCGCTCTGGGGAGACACCCCCCACCCAGTGATTGTGCCCCTCTGCTCTGGGGAGACACCCCCCACCCAGTGCTGCCTCCAGCTCTGGGGCCTCAGCACAGGAGAGACATGGACCTGTTGGAGCGGGGCCAGAGGAGGCCCCGAGATGCTGGGAGGGCTGGAGCCCCTCTGCTGGGAGGACAGGCTGAGAGAGTTGGGGGGGTTCAGCCTGGAGAAGAGAAGGCTCCGGGGAGACCTTGGAGCCCCTTCCAGTCCCTCAAAGGGCCTCCAGGAGAGATGGGTGGAGGGGAGCCATAAGATGAGGAGAAGCGGTTTTAGACTGAAAGAGGGGAGATTTGGTCTAGGTATAAGGAAGAAATGTTTTACAATGAGGGTAGTAAAACCCTGGCCCAGATTGTCCAGAGTGGTGGTAATATGTCCCATCCCTGGAAACATTCCATGTCAGTTTCCGGAGTGATGGTAATATGTCCCATCCCTGGAAACATTCCATGTCAGTTTGGACAGGGCTTTGAGCAACCTGATCTAGTTGAAGATACCACTCCTTAGGGCCTGGAGATTGGACTAGATGGCCTTTAAAGGTC